ATTACATGATAGGGTAATGAACACAGCTAATGATGTAACATTTAAGTTATATTGAAGGCCTGTTTATTTGTAATGGTTAAAAATCTAATTAACATAACTGCCAACTATGAGATAATTCATAGCGTGCATTCTTGTCCCGGGCATCAAACATGAAATAACTTGTAATCACTATAGGTGGTTAAGTCGAACTAGTTTTATAAACTGGAAACTTGCTGTGGTGGTCAACATGTTAACTTTGCATGTGAAAAGTGATGAGCCAAATCCAGAATGATAATGCTGTGTGTAAAGAAAAATTTTTTGTATCTTCATATAATAACATTTTTGGCATATTATTTGAATTCTAGTCAATTAAATAAAACAGGTTAAAGTTTGCCATGTAGTTTTTAACTAGTCTAAAATAATAGTAATGTTAATAATTAATGACTTAAAATGAGAAGCATTTTTGAAACTGTGTTTAGTTGCAATTGTGTTATCTTTTTTTAGTGATTACAATGCTTTTTCTTGGGGGGGGGGGTACGATTCTGCACTACTCTAAATGCTTACTCCTAGAGCTTGTCCTATCATTTTAGCTAAAGCTAAAACTTTCTCTGTTATGCCTTCTGAGTCAGGAGTCCCCCTCCCAACCCTATACCCACTAGAACTATTACACCGGTGTGCCCACTTGCAGCCGAGTAGTAAAGGTCACTGAACACTGGATAGTTCAGTCCAAGGTTCAAATCCTATAACTGTATAACTGTGCTGGCTGCATGGGCATTTTCATGGTTTTCCTCATTTGTAACATGTATACCTTTACCTCCCCTTAGGCAGAAACCACATAAAAACCAAAAAAAAAAAAAAAAAAACTATTACACTAGCAGATGGTTTTTATATGTGCCCACTGCTGTATGAACATAATTAAAAAATTATTTAAATTTTTTATAAAATATGTAATTTTTTATAGTTAGTAATTAATGAGAGAAATATAATGATATTTATTTTTTAAAATTATGTCTTTATAATTATTATACATTTATCATTTAAATGGGCTTTCCACACTCAGTTGACCACCTAAACTGGGTCTGTGTTTGAAGGTATAATGGGAGCCAGTTTGTCATTTTGTCTTGGCTATTTGTTAAAGTGTTTTTTACAAATGTCAAATATACATACACTAAAAATATGGTACTATTCTGTTTTGAGGACCGTAAAAAAATTGTAGCAAAAATGTATGCGCAAAAGCGCCAAATCTAGCAAATGCGCCCATTTAACAGCGCTCCAAATCTAGCGTACGGGCTGATTTCAGATTGCGTAACTTTATATAATTCTATATTTCTTAAGACGCCAATGAAATATTAGTTTCATTTTTAAATCCTTTTTTGATATCCTATGGATTTCAATTTGGGAATTGCCCATGACGAAAAAGTCTGCAATAGAATTTTGGGTTTAACGTGCAGAATCACCCACTGCTTGATGTGTTTTTAAAAATTGCACATACTCTGAATTCCATGTACACATCGACCTATTTTTTCACTTAGAAAAAAGTCCCAGAATTGCACAGAAAATGGCACTGCGCACACCCTTTACTTTGTCTATGTACACATCGACCTATTGTTCACTTAAAAAGTAAAAGTAAAATGACAAAAATCCAATTGTTTTTACCCTTGTAAATTGCGGCAAACAAATAAGTGGGCGATTCTGCACTTTACCGATAATTTTTTCAAAGAAAAAGCATCATTCATAGAATCATCATAGAAAATTATGTTTGAACAACCGAGATGAAATTATACTTTAGCGATAACTCGGTAGCGAAATAGCAATGCAGGTATCCATTCCGTTATGTTTAACAATTTTTATATAAATTATAATAATGATCTGTAATAGTTATTTATTCTTATGCTTCCATTCAGTCATGTTTAGCCTTTTTTATATAAATTAGAATAATAAAGAAATATTAAATGCTATTAACCTTTCATCTAAATTAAAACATCGATCTTAGATTGTTATTTATATTTCCTTTCTTGCATTAGGGTTGCCGCAATTATTTTTGGCAGCACTGGCATCAACAATAGTTTGGCGATTTTTTACGGCCCTCCAAACCGAATAGTACCAAAAATATTTTTTAATGTCTTCCTGTACTACTTTATTATATGATTCTGTTCGTTTATAGCTTCATAAACAAAGCATGATTATTTGTTCTGCATTGTAGTGCCATCTACAAAGGGGAATGCCCATTTAATGCATGTTCTATTTGCCATGCTTTATTACTAGTTGTATGCTCTTATATTTACTGAATGAATCTGTAACTTTATTATTGATGTCTTCATTATTTTTGTATACTTTGTTATTTTAATCCCAACATGAGCGACTTGATGACACAAAACCCATAATTTTAGTACTGGCTGGAAAGAATCTTATTATTTTATCAGTTTTAAAAACAAACGTGTTGTGATATGTGGCAGTAGATCTGCGGTTCTCAAAAAACAATGTTGAATATCATTTGCAGACAATTTATGCCACTTTTAATATGACCTTATCACTTATATCTGTAAGAACTAAGAAGAAAAATAAACTAAAATCTAACCTGTTTGCCCAACAGTCAGTTTTTACAAAGTCTGTGGTAAAATGTAACAATACCATTACTGCTTCTTTCAAATTTTCTCGGGTGATTTCAAAGTAAAAACAGCCTTTCCAGGATGGTGAATTGTTGAAACAGGCATTTTTAACTGGTTTCATTTGCTTATTTTAGGGATTTTATTATCAACATGAGTTTATCTGTGAGCAGTACAAGGCTTGCAGTTGTCAGATAGCCACTTCAAAACAAGAATACATGCCTACTGTGTTAAAGTGTGACTTGGAAATATGTTACTGGTTCATACTACAATTTTCCTGGAGATATATCAGACAGTGTATAGTTAGCTATTATGGTGAAAATTATATTTAATATTCTGTAAAAGAAGATCTACCAAAAATATCAACCTTAAAAGGAAAGAAGTGAGGATATCTGCAGCAATATTTATAGCATATGCAAAGTCAATAGATGTGCCTTTGCACAAGCTGTTGTTAGTAACCACTGTGAGACACTAGCAATGCTTAGTAATATTAATGGATTTATTGCCCTCTTTAAGAAAGATAAATTATTTCCAAACTTTATGTCGTATCACAGTATCATCCTTCAGGAAGCTTTGTTTGTTAGAATGCCCTTCGGATATTTCATGAAAATAATTTAAAAAATAATAAACTTTATTTGAGCAGCACTTTGCAACATGCCTTTTCAGTAACCTAGTAGAAAACCTTGAAGATCCTGATTTCATTTTGCATAAGTAAGCTGACTCAGCAAAGGCAAAGTTCTTGCAAAATTCATAAATTTAATTGTAAAAATAAAAAATTATCTGAAGACCAAAGATAAAAATGTCACTGGACTAACAAATGTCCTCTGGTTTGTGGATTTAGGTTTTGTCACAGACATAATTAAGAAATTGAATTATTTAAACTTGGAGCTGCAGGGAAAAGATAGCTTTAAAGATAGGGTCTGTTTCCTTGTTTGAAGCCAAACTGGTTTTGTGAATATTATATCAGCAGATGAAATCATGTGTGCATTTCCCAAATATGAATGAAAATGATACATAAAGCTGAAATTTACTTGTCCTCATTTGTTATAAACCTTCAATTACTTAAAACTAGTTTGAAAATTTTTAAGTTATTTTTTTTTTTTTATTTATTTAAAAGTTTGTTAATATTATTCAGTCAATAATTGCCTTCAATCCTTTTACTTTCTAGGTAAATGTAACTAAAAGACCTGCATACATTGCACAGATTATTCAAACAAGAATGAAAGAGCTAGAGCTAGAAATTTAGGCTAATCAAAATAACATAATCCTAAAATCCAATGTACCAGATGAGAACTTCTAGAATATAGTTTATAGAAACAAATTACCATTTGAGAAAAGAACATCATACGAGACAAAAGCGTTTTTTGGTTCCACATACTTGTGTGAATCATTGTCCTGTCACCTCATCATATATCATCATAAACAAAATATAAGCCGAAGAATTTATGAATTTTTGTCTGTATTATTTTTTAATTATTTATTTTACTTAAGAATACTAGCAATAGTTTATATTTTTGAAATGATTATTAACTATGTCAACCTATAAGTTTTTATTGAAAAATAAATGTAGCCACCACCCTATTGGTTTTCTAGAATGTGCTCTAATTTGCAAAACATTTGGGGATTGCTGTTTTAAGTAAAATACCATAAACTCAAATGAAGGTTCAAAATAAACCTATTTGTTAACTTATAAGGTCCCGCCTTCCTAGCATGCCTTCATGGTGTAGTGGTTCTGCACGCTGGGCCAGTATTCCAGAAGTCCGTGGTTCGATTCCCAGCGAAGGCGTTGCTCATTTTTCATCTCTCCGACTTTTTCAATTAACCTAATGTCTCTACAAACTTATCAGCTTGACAGTTATACAAGTTAACAAAAATGCAAAAGTGTCTACTTGCATGACATGAAAACATAGAACAAAACTACTAAAACTAGTCAAATTAAAAATAAATACTAAGTAATATGTGCTTAAATAAGCTTTGACTCATCCTAAATATTTCACGTAGCTAGTGAATGTAAAGTCATAAATTACTTCAGTAGCTGGAAGGTGCAATAGTGATAACTTTCAAACTTTAGTAGCTGGAGATGTAACAGTGATAACTGCAAAGGCTTTCTCTCAAACTCATGAATTCTGCCTTATATACATTGGTTAAATTGCATCCTACTGGAAGTGAGCAAAAGTAAAAATAATAGTGTTGGCTAACAATAAAATAACTAAGTAGTTAACATAAAATCCTCAAGGTATTTAAATTCTATCCACTTGAAAGAGCTTTTCTGCATATTCCAAATTACGTTTGTATGAATTTATTTAATTGTTAGTTAAATATATTTTAATCCTTCTTTTATTACTATTAAAGTGAACAGAATTTGTAGTGAATGGAAATCAGCAAAAATAATTACAAGGAATGATTTTATTTTAGGCAAATGGCAGTCAACTTTAGACAGTTGTCTTCAACATGTAGATGTATCTGTGCGTTCAGCAGCTGTATCTGCATTACCTGATTTTTGTTGTCAATATTATCCGCCTGAGAGTCCCAAGTGTTCAAATCTTCTGAAAAGTTATTTAGAACAACTAAATGCTAATCATATGGAAACAAGATGTGGATATGCTTTAGCAGTAGGTAAATAAATACTTTAATATATTACCTCCAAATCAGTGTAAAATAGTATATTTTAGAATTTATGTAAATTTGCTGCAGAATGTATTTTGAGTTAAGAAAAATGTATTGCAGAACATTTTTCTGTTTTTTATTTTATTTAAATCTACTGATAATTTGAGATAAAAAATATTTCTCATTTATATTTTGCAGCATACCTGTAACATAGTACACTGTTATTTTTTTTCCTGTACTTTTCAACAGGTTCAGAAATATGTTAATAAATTTGCATTTATTTATTAAATGTATTATTCCCTTGGGGTTTACACACTGACTTAGTAGCCTAGGGGAACAACAACATAAACCTGGCAGTTCCAGAACTTAACGCTTATATGTTTGAACCGAGGAGGCTTGGCATAAGAACTAGAACCAGGAGCACTGGTAGCTTGGCTGGTCCAAGTATTTTGGGTTATGTCCTCCAATGATGGGCTGCCCATGTGGTACTCACTGGGGCATTATTGACGACCAGTCAGACTTCCAGGTTCATAAAGGTGTCCATAGTTTGCCTTTCCCTGGAGTGCTGTCTGAGCCCTGTGGTTTGACAAGTGCCTGGTTGCCCATTTCAGCCCCAGGTGATTAAGAGAGAGTTCTTTAGAAAGTCTACACCATGGGATTGAGGCCCCTGTGGTGTAACAAGTAAGTTGTATAAATCTTTCTTTGAGGGATTTCTGTGGACAATGTGTAGCCCTCCCACCTAATGCAGAGCTTGATCATGGGTTGTCACCCTAGTTGCATTAAGTAGTAAGAAGGGGTAACAAAACTTGATTGATTATTACATGTATTATATTAAGGACATTTAAAAATCAGATGGTGATATATGTATGTTTTTCATTTATGAAATTTTATATCTTAAAAAGTGTTAATTATAAAAACTTTTTCTTCTATAATATGAATCCTATATTTGTTAAATTGAAGTTATTGATAGAATCTATAATTGGTATAAAAATACTAATAATATGCTTCAGAAGGAAATTTTATTCCATCATAAGTCATAAATTTCACATATCTAAGAAATAATTACTTTGCAGCATTCTACTAGTCTAAAGGGATGATTTGCAGTATTTCTAAAAAGATATTTTTGTTTGTCCTAACATATATAAATTATTAGTTGAGTATGCATGTTCAACTAATGATCTAGCATCGTACATGCTGTTTGATTAACTTAATTAAGCATTACTGCATTTCTTTATTTTTTCTACATGCATATATCATTATATCATATAATAATTTACCACTTAAGTCTTCGAGGGAGGCTTACATTCAGTATGCTGCATCTCTTTTAATTTTATGAACTAAGGCCTCTCTGCATCATTTCATGATGCATTTGTAAGATGGAAAAATATTCACGTATATAATGATCTGTTTTAGATTTTTAAGAAGATAGTATTCTTACAATGTATTTATTTAAATCAGGCACTATGTGTTTTATATTAGTGCATTCATCATCAGATTTATACTTGAAGTAACATGGATGTGGAAGTGACACATTTTCTTACATTATATTTACATGGCTTTTTTAAAAACATTTTAAACTGTTTCACTTTTTTAAAAAGCTTCTATTTTCTATGTTTAGAGACTAAAACTTCTTTAAAAGCATTAAGACTTACCTTAATCGTAACATCAAATGAAAAAGAAATGTGGCAGTGTGAAATTTAATACAAGACAAAACAAATAAAGCAATCATAATTCAGTATAGATTTTGATTTAAAATATTATCGATTTCTCTTACAAAACATTTTTTTGTTCCTGATGATTCTTACATCTGACTGCCTGCAAAATATATGCCAATTTAGGATTTCATTTTTTGCCTAATATTAAGTATAATTTTCATCATTAAAAAAATCAAAGAATAGATGGTTTTAACCATAATTTTTTTCATCCACTAATTAAAGTCATTGACACTCTGCTGGCAGTTGTGGTAACATCAGCAATGGGTATGGAGAATCTTCACCAGCAAAGTGTAACGATGAAAAAAAGATATAAAAGGCAATTAAGCATAATGATATTAGCTGATATTTTTGTATTATTAGGAATAGTGGGGCACAAGTTACCTACAAATAATAAGTTAAAAAGCACAGGCATTTTCAAATTGAGAGTATTGTGTTGAGATATTCATTATACTGTTATACATTGCATTTTTCTGTACAAGAGAATTACTTTACCAACAAAATTTTTGATTTTTAAATTTTGTTGTATTTTCTAATTAAGTGCCAAACTTAAAAAATAAAGAGTATAAAATTATTTCATTTCTTCGTTTGAATTATACAGAATTCTCAAAATGAATATTGGATTTGCTTATGTTTAAATCTGAATAATGTATTGCTTATAGATGTTTGAATCTAACATTAATTTTGCTTAACTTTTAAGCAAGAGCCAATTCTAGAAAGTACAGTGTATATTCATATTCAGCAGGTTGAATTTAGTAAGAAAAAGTTTATTTCATCTCTGACAGGGAAAAAATTAAAAATTTATAAAATAGTCTTATTTGTTTATTTTTATCAAAGAGGAAAATTTAATGTAGCATTGCACATTAATCATTTTAAAGCTGAGAACTGATCTATAACACAAGAAATATTTAATAGGATGTGAAATAACTGTCAAGTTTACATAGTGGAATTATAACTTTTTAATGAATGTCAGTAATAAACATTGAAAAATATGTTTCTTCATCTTTTTATTAAAATGAGATTACAGATTTATTTATAGATTTTGTAACTTCCGTTCTGAAACTAGCAGTTTTGATTTTAACAAACAAACAACATCATTGTTTAAAAATATTTTTGCAATTGATGTGCATGTATCATTTTATATAGAACATAAATACAGAGGCTGTTCGCACATTTTTTAGAAAATTTTGGTAAGCGGTAATAAAAAATTGTTCGCAGCGAAAGAAGTAATTGCAATTGTACTATGTTTTTAAAAGTCAAAATTATCGTCTGTGGCCTTAAAAGTTTTGTTTTTATTCAAAATGGCGAATTTAACAAAGCAGTGGTTTGAAGGCTACATTGACGCTCTTTCCGAAGAGAAATATGCATACTCCATTATCCAACAATGATGTGAGAGTCATGGTTTTGTGATATCAAAAGCGTCGATAGGTAATATCATCAACAAGAAAGGAAAAAACGTCAAATTGGAGCCTCAAGTGGGACAAAAATTCCAAACAAGTATCCAAGGAAAAAATGGACATCTTCGACTATTGCAAAGGTACGTTGTTTAATGTTAAAAGGAAATCCCTCTAGTCAAAGGACAGTTGCAAAATCGGTATCCACTGTGAACAAAACAATAAACGTTGATTTAAATCTTAAGAAAGCGAAAAAACGCAATGTGCGTCGTCTTCTTCCAAAGCTCAACGCAGGACACGCTGCAGAATTCTATATGAGAAACACTTATCCAAAGAAAAATGGAACACAATTGTCACAATAGATGAAGCATGGGTGTATTTAAATGATTGTAACAAAAAAAAAAAAAAAGCCATTTATTATCATAAAAGGGGAGAAAAATTTAAGTACATGGTTCAAAGAATTGAAAGAAAGTTTTTCTAAGGGATTCATGATTGTTGCTGGTTTTTCTTATAATGGCAAATTAAAAATAAAGAGAGTGCAAAAAAATGTCAAGATTAACTCCAAATAACATATTTTATCGCCAATGTTTCTGAATGAAATATCATCGCTTACCCACAGTGAGACCATCTGTGAGACTCCATCAGACAAAGCTAGCAGTCACACATCAAAATCGACAGTAAATTTTCTAAAAGAAATGGAACAAAAAATTGGCATCAAGGCCCTACTAATATCCCTACTAAATCTCCCAATGCGTCACCTATGGATTTTGTGCTTTCGGACTTTTAAAAACTGCATTACCCAAACATTGTCCCCAAACCCTAACAGGACTCTGGAAAGCTGTTCGGGAGGAATGGGATAGAATACCTCTTCTGCCACTTCCAAAGGCATTATTATCCTGGAAATTGTGGTGTCGAAAGATAGTTCAGAAAAAGGGATGTCAAATAGAACATTTAAAACACAAGAATTTTATGTAATTTAGTTTTGTGAATACAATATACATCGTCTAAAAAATGTGTGAACAGCCTCTGTATACTTCTATTATGTCTAATAAATATTCAAATACGGGAAACTGTTTTTATTTTAACAGGATCCTTTCCACAATATATTCTCAAGGGCTATGTACATGAGGCTATTCAGTGCCTCTCAAAATGTGCTGAAGTAACTGAAGAATATTCAAGCTGGGCAGAGGCAAGACGAGATGCTGTTAAAGCATTATCACAAGTTGCTGCTACGGTTGGAGTTGACCAAACTAGCGATGAGCAGAATGTTATATGTCAGAATAATTTGGATTTAATTTTCAGTACATTTTTAGCAGCTACCAATGACTACACACTAGACAGCAGAGGTGAAATAGGAGCAATTGTAAGGGAAGCAGCTATGATAGCTATACAGGTAATGAATGACCTCTTTGTATCTTTCTTCTTAAGTTTTCATAAGACTTTTATTATTTTGAAATGAATTTCAATCAGCATGGCATTTTCTTAGATATACTGAAGAATTTTTTTAAAATTATTTATTGGCTTTATTTCTGCCATTATAGTTGTTACATAAGGCGTTACGTTCGAACAATGGCTAGCTCAGAGGGGATTCATAAGTCATCTACCCGATGAATTAACAGCTATCTTGTCATAAATGGAGTACTTCATTTAAACTTAAGCAAAAAGATTTATTTACACATAAAGACAAGTTAAAAGAATAAAAAATATTTATCTAGCTACAATATCTAACAACATCATGCAAACATCGTTCTTAGCTAACTAAACCGGAACTCTTCGTTTTTCTCTGGCGTCCCATGACGTCAGTCTCTATCTGGCTTTTTATTCGCTGGCGTAGTGATGCCATTCCCAACATCCTGCCCCCTTTGAGTTGCTGGATAGCTACTCAAAACATTCAAGTCTATCAAGTTCAGTCTAAGTGGCATCTTAACAGTTCTACCAGCTCGTGTCTTTATAGTCTTAGAACTGTCACATACATCGGAAACATCAGTGGGGTCCGGAGATCGGGGTGACCCAGAAATTTCTGAATGATGAGAGGTACTCATGTCGTCTCCACGATGAGAATCTGAAGACTTTACAGCAGATTGATGTTTTTTGAGGATCACTTGGATGACATGAACCTGACAAATCATCATCTTGGATTTCTAGGGGAAACACTCGTTGTATCGGACGTACTAAATTGTTAGTTTGCGTTCTTAATCTAACTGTTCTCACTTTACCGTCCTTTTCCTGGAATCAGTTCCGTAACCCTGGCTAAAGGCCAATTCAATCTCTTTTTGATATCATCTCCTATCAACACAACGTCATTCACTCGAATATTTGGAAAGTGTGAATTTTGCTGTCGTTTCTGAATAAGTAGTCCTAAATATTCCTTTCGAAAACGTACTCGGAGATCTTCCATTAATTTTGCACGAAATCTGATTCTTTTCCTGAGATGATTGGTGTCTACTGTGTCTATATCAGTTACATCTAAATTGGATCTATCGGTCAAAAACGTGGCAGGTGTAAGTGGAACTAAGTCTTCTGTATCTTCGGATAAATACATCAGGGGTCGCGAATTTACTACCCTTTCACATTCGCACATAACTGTTTCCAGTTCTTCATAGGTAAGAACAGCTCTGCCCAATGTTCTCCTAAGGAGTTCTTTGACTACTCGAACAAGTCTTTCCCACCATCCGCCCCACCAGGCAGCAGTGGGGGGATGAATTTCCATTCGATCTTCTGTATTTCTGTTTGTCGAGTTATTTTACTCCAATCAATTTCTAAAAATTATTATAAGCTCCCCTAAAGTTTGTACCGTTGTCTGTATAAACCACTCTAGGTCTTCCTCTTCTAGCAACAAAACGTCTAAATGATAACAGAAAAGCATCAGTAGAAAGCGATGTTATTAACTCTAAATGAATTGCTCTATAAAGAGCACACGTGTAGAGAACCATCCATACTTTGTCCCCACGTTTTACAAATAGGGGACCAGCCAAGTCAATACCAACTACTTCGAAAGCTGCAGCATTTTCCACTCTATCAGCAGGTAAGGAAACTGGTTCAGTGATGAGAGATTTAGTTTTGTATCGTCGACATTTAATACAGTCCTTCAGAACACTACGTATCGCTCTTCTTCCTCTTGTAATCCAGTACTTTTCACGCAATATGCTTAGTAATATCTGGGTTCCAGCATGACAGTTTTTCTCGGTGAAAATATTCAATCAGTCTTTGAGTAAAGATACATTTATCAGGAAGAAGAATAGGTGAAATGAAGAAAGGCTTATCTATGCGTTCAGTAATTCGAGTTTTAACTCTGATAATTCCGTTCACATCTTTGAAAACACACAAGTTCCGAATAGAGGTTTCACTAGGAAAAAATTGAGCTTGCACATTACGAATAAGCAGAATTTCAGCATTTTCAATCTCCTGCGTTAGAAGTTCTCCCCCCCCCGTCTAGTATCATGATGCGATCTTACATTACTGATAAATCTCAATATCCATGCAACCATTCTAACTATTGAATGGAAATTTGAGAATTTAATGGCATACCACGGGACTCTCTCTTCCGACAAATTAATATTACATAACCTAACCTTTCTCCTTTCAAGTGTTATTTCGGGTGTTTCCGTTATCAATATTTCGGTGTCAGGCCAGTTGTCTCTTGCTTGCAACAACCATGCCGGGCCTTTCCACCAGCAGGATTCTAACAATTTCTTAGGGACACACTCTCGCGAAATCAGATCAGCGGGATTCATTTTCCCTGGCACATGTCGCCATTTATTATTAGGAAACAGATTATTTATTTCTTTTACTCTGTTCGAGACAAAAACTGTCCAATCACCACGTTCTTTTAACCAGTATAAAGCTACCCTAGAGTCGCTCCAAAATATTGTTTTAATCTCATGGGCATTTAAAGCCTGCTTCACTGAATATGCCAACCTGGCACCAATGCAGCAAGCCATTAACTCTAACCTAGGGATCGTTACTTTCTTCAAAGGTGCAACTCTGGTTTTTGCTCTAACAAAGTAAATTTTTACCCCTTGAGAGGTTCTCGTTCTAAAAAAAAATACAGGTGGCATATGCCTCTTTGCACGCATCTACGAAAACATGCATCTCAGTGGAATCATTTATTTCAACATAACGTGAGATTTCGATATCTCTTAATGCATCTATTTCTCTAAACCATCTTTTAAAAGACATTTGAATACTATCTGGTAAGGGAGTATCCCACTTTAGATTTAAATTCCACGTTTCCTGCAGTAAAAGCTTAGGTGGTAAGATTGCAGGACTCAACAGACCTATTGGATCAAATATTTTGTGAACTGTAGCTAAAATGATTCTCTTAGTAAAATTCTGATCTTCACTTACAAGATTAAAGTTTAAATTACACTTAAGAGTGTCCTTATCAAGATCCCACAAAATTCCCAATACTTTCGTGACACCAGTACTATTAGAAACATACTTACATTTTACATTACTCTCCCAGTTTCTTAAGTTAAAGCAACCCCGTGACAAAATATCTTTTGCATTTACAATAAAATTTTCCTCCTCCTCAATATTTGCAACGCCAGAAACACAATTGTCTACGTAAAAAGAATGTTTCAGTTTTTGTGCTATAGCATCAAATTCAGATGGTACATTATCTAATAAATGTGTAATTGAGGCTGCTAATAAAAATGGACTCGACTTTAACCCAAATACTACTCTGCGATGTCGGTAAACAATCTGTTCACTCTCGGACGGATAAAAAAACCGCAAGAAATCTCTATGTTGAGGGGCTATACTTAGCATCAGAAATGCTTTCTCAATATCTGAAGATAATCCTATTGGATGAATTCGAAACCTATCAAGTATCTCTGGAATTATTTCTAGTAAGTTCGGACCCTTATACAAAAGGTCATTCAAAGAGCATTTACCACTTTCTCGGGCTGACGCGTCAAAGACAGGTCTGATTTTTGTAGTGGTACTGTCCTTAATTACTGGCCGATGAGGTAAAAAATGTCCCGTCTCAATATTATCAGTTACCTTTTCAATTATATTCAATTTTTCCCATTCCCGGAAAATCGTAGTATATTCTTCTAAAAATGCTTTATCTTGTGCTCGCTGGCACATCCTTTTATGCCGCTTCCAAGTTAAATCTTTATTTGTCGGCAAATCGGCCACATCAGATTTAAAAGGTAAACAAAGTTCATATCTACCGTCTGAAAGAATTTTCACATTATTTTTAAACTCTTCCAAAACTCTAGAATGTTCTAAATTCTTTCTATTATTTTCAATGGGATCTGAAATACCTATGGATTCTAAAGACCATAAATCTTTTATCGAATAATTACTAACATACAACGAAATTGCATTCAAAACAGTATCATCATTGCTATCTCCAAATGACTCATGCTTCCCAGTTAACACATGTCCCAAACAAGTGTCAATCAAAAATAACCCTGACTCCAACCGAACAGATTTATTAGTAAATAAAGCGTACCCAAAAGCAGACCGATCTCACGATCAGAAGAACCCAAATCAGACAAACTGACGCCTCTATCTTTCAGTTCATTAAGAATTTTACTATCGTTCACTTTTGGCACTGTGCCACAAATTTTGCTCTCGGAAAGTGCTTCGATTTGAAAGGAGAAAGTTTCATCTAATGCCGAAATCAACAAATTATAAACATCGTGAATCTGCGTTCGCGTTTCTCTTCCACCGAATAACGAATGCTTCAATTTAATTTGCCTTAATGGTTTTAAATTTAAATTCTCTACTAATTTTTTACTGACAAACGAATGCTGAGAACCTGTATCCAGTAATGTGCGTACTTTAAGCTCAACATTCTTAAATTTAATTTTAACTATTAGTTGCCAACTTATTATATTTTCGAAACCCGATTTTATATTATTTTTCTGATTTTTATGGATCAGTTATATGAACAAAAAAAGTGATTCGTCCGATAATTTAGATTATATCTAAAACAAAACCTTGCGAATTAGATAACTTCTGCTTGAGTGAGAGCATATACGTATCCAGAAAACGTCCTTCTCAGTTCTCCAAGGCATCGTGCTCCACTGCGTGTCATCTGGCATATATAGCCAATGAGGACAAAAACAAGCTTATTGGATGTTCTTTATTTATTTCTGTCATTTTGTCCTGAGTTGTGTGAGTACACGTGCCTTCGGGAAATAGTTTTAGAAATTATCATCTTTTGTTATGTCTGCGAGAAAGGTGAAATACTCGTTTACGTTTCAAAAATCGTACACAGTTGACTTTCCTTCCATTATTTCCTCAAGGAAATGTAATAAATTTGCGAAGTGTGTGTACCGCCTGTCGTTGCGATTTTTCGATTTCGCATGGTGGAAGGGCGGATGGTCTCAAACATGTGCGTACACAAAAACACAAGGGCAACATGAGCTGTTTTTGGGA